TAAACTTTTTTTTTTCTTTTTTTTTTTTTCTTTTTTTTTTTTTTTTAAGAAAACCTGTGAAGGGCAGAAGGGGAAGCAAAAGTACTTCTCAGAATCATAGAATGTTAGGGATTGGAAGGGACCTCGAAAGATCATCTAGTCCAACCCCCCTGCCAGAACACCTACAGTAGATTACATAAGAACATGTCTAGGCGGGTTTTGAATGTCTCCAGAGAAGGAGACTCCCCATTCTCTCTGGGCAAAGCATTGGGCAAGGAGGTGAAGAGTGTATCTAATTTCAAGATACATTTCTAAAATATATTGTAGTAGCTACTAAAATATATGATAGATTGAGATTTAGTCTTTCATTTTTTTGTATTTTTTCTCCTTAAATGGGGAAAAAAATCAAATATAACTGGTTAACTTTCTGCTTTGTAGTTTTATTTAAATCTTAAAGTCGGTGCAATTTACCAGTACCAAATTGTATTTGTAAATTTTGATGGTATCTTGAAGCAGTAAGAAAATACTAGCTTTCACATACCAAATCAACCTTGTCTGTTTCCACTGGGAGATTTTATACTGTCTACTGCAGTATAAATTTAGAACAAAACCATACCTGTCCTAAGAGTTACTAGAGTAGTGTAAAATATTCTTCCTTGAGAAAATGAAGTATTTATTTATATATTTATTTATTTGCTGCTATTGCAAAAAAAGTTACCGAAGTACCCCAACTGCAAAAAATCACAACTGTGGAATCTTTTGCATTTTTAGTCTTCCTAATTTCCCCTTAAGTTTCTAATAACTTATGATCTCTTACAGTCTGGCATGAACTACAGAGAATTATGTTTATACCCATGTGACTATGCATATCAAACAGAAAATTTTAAGATTAGAATTAAATGAGCATACAGCAGCTTATATTTAAACTGAGAAAGTAAAAGAAATGAAGTAAATATATATATATATTTAAAATTAGTTGTTAAACAGGCTACTTAGTTATTCACATATCTGGACAAGATCCACAGCTAAAATGCAGCTGCACCTGAGCCTGTGCCTGGCAAATTGAAATTCCATGTTTGGAAGAATATAATTTTGATCCTGAGCATGTCCACACTAACATTTTAATTCAGATCAAGAGTACATTTCCACATGTATGTATTGTCACCACCTCCTTGCACATCTTTTCACATTGCAGAGGGGTTCTCTAAAGTACAGTCTGAACCCTTAGAAGTGAACTTCTCCCTGTGCACGATGTCCACCACTGGTCATTCATTCAGCCTAGGGGACCAGACAGGAGTTAGGCCATAGTAAAAACCAGTAAATGAAATGTGTACAGTGTGGACACGAGGTCTGACTATTCTGTTTCAGTCTCCCTCTTGCAGGTCTGCATGGCATGCTAACTTAGGGTTGGCCTCCAGCCATGAGACAAGGCTGGAGCTGGACAGAATTAAACTATCTCAGTAGATTTTATAGATATTGGTCCCTGATATTTGTCACTGTGGGTTCCGAAATAACTTTTTAGCAGTAAAGAGGAAATATCATCACTGGTTTGTTGGGCCCCACACACGCACACCAAGGGGGTCCCTGTGTGCCAACCCACATGGACAGCCCCTGACTGAGTGCAGGTGCTCCACTGGACAGTGCTTTGTCCAGGCTGGAGGGAGTTTGAGATGTTGGTGGCCACTTCTTGCAATGTCAAACCATGTCAAGCTGCTGCCCTCTTCCCACCTCCCTCTTCCTACTTTTACAAACTGTCATGCTTCTTTTGCCCTTTTTTTGAAGCTGACCTTTGCTTCAGAAGACTCTCATTCCCTTATTACTACCCAGTCCAGCTGGTGGCCATCTTTCCCTCAGGCACAATAAATTTGGAGCAAATATCCCCTGAGACAATTTGTGGTATTTCACTCAACACAGATGAAATGCGCTCACGTTCCTCTTTTTCAGCTCTTGCTGTCCATGGCATTTTGCAGCAGGAGGGCCTTGTGGTCACCCTTCCAAATTATTATTTAAGGAAAAACAAATTTGTGAAGTCAAGAACTGAATATTACTTTTAATGACTTTCTGTGTCATTCTGTGGGGAAGGAAAAAAAACCCAACAAAACCACAAAAAAACCCAACAAAAAACCCCCTCTTTTCCATATCCACCTATTACTATTCCTTTCTCTGTTGCATTAGGCCAGTGAGAAGAACTTCCAGGTTCTATCAAAAACCCAACCTAAGGATTTTCAGATCACAGAATGGCCTTCAACTCATTCCAAACCATAAAATGGGAAGTATTCTTAACTGCACTTAAGAAACGTAAAAGGCACAGAGTATAAATCCCCAACTCAGAAAAAAAGCTGCATTCCTGTTTATTTGGGATTTTAGAGTGACACATGAAGATACTGTTCTGAAATCTTCACAGTGGTCACATAAAAAAAAAAAAAAATTCTTAGTGTTTTGTATTTCTGGACAAATGCTTACTCTTTGCCTGAATTTCTTGAAAAGGCTTTGGAGAAATATTTTGATCTGGTATTTAGAGCATGAAAATATATCCTCATCAAGAAAAGACAGATTTATGAATTCAGTTTGTATCATGTGGGGCTGACACTTTGCCATGATGATTAGCTTTTAAATTAAGAAAATTTGTTCTTGCAATTAATGAGAATTAGCAGAGAACTGTGGAAACAAAAAAGTCTTCATTTGTCTAACATCAGATATTCATTGACTGCAGTTTTACTCAGTCATCTTTTCGTACATTTGGAAAGAATTCAAAATTACAAAGATCAACCAACTTTAGCTTGACGTTGCTAGAAGAGCTAAAATGTGTTTAGGCTCTGAATATTAATTACCATGCTGCTTTAAAGGTTACAACAGTCGCTTTCTCCCAGGGAGGTCATAGTTCTGATTGAATAAAGGCTTAATTATAGAATATTATAGAACATTGCAGTGAGCTGCAGCAACAAAACCAGCAAGTGGGTTATTCTTTCTTTGACAGTCCTAAAAAGATAATAAAGTCTTGTAAAAAAGAGAAAAACACATCTGTTAAAAAAAAATTGAGGCAATTACGGATTAATAGCTTGTTTGTTTTTTCCCCATTGGTATAGAAGAGAAAAAAGAAGATGTTACTGCTATTTTAACTACTGTGCTTGCCATTATTAGAGACTTTTTTATGAGAAAGCCGTATTGAATGCTATTTAGCAATAAGGATATGATTCCTATTACTGCAAATGAAGCAACTGTTCATGAAAAATACAAGGACTCATCAGTCACTTGCTGACATTAAATAACTATTAATAATTATTAATTAAATATGAAAAAGAATCTTTTGGTGCAAGGTAATACATTCATTTCTGATGGAGGATGGGACAGGTGGGTTTGAGCCCCATGTTGGGTGCCAGAGAAGACTGTGGCCAAAGGAATGAAACCACCACAATTCCATTCAGTTATGCCTGACCTTGCATGCAGAAATTCATGCCACCTTAATGTAAGCCATATTTAGAGTTTAGTCCTTTTATGTTCTTGTTTTTAAACTTGAGGCTGGATTTTGCATCTCATTGTAGGAATTTTACCATAGAAGACATTATAGAAATACAGGTGTGAATGGCTGACACATCTAATTTCTTCTTTTCTCTTACTTTTCCTTCTCTTCTGCTTCCTCCATATTGTGAATCCCTTCCACCTTGTGAATTTTCATTCTTCCTATCACTGAAAAAATAACTCAGCAGTGCAAAGAGATCTTTTCCCTCTTGCCAAAGCAGGTGAAATGTACTGCAAGGCCTTTTTTCCCCTAGGGACCTTAGGTTTCCCTTGCAGTCCTTCCTAGGAGCACGAAGGTCATGTCACAGCAGGTTAAGGTGGCTCAAAATGAAAGACTGTCTCGTCTCAAACTGCTCCAGGACTACAGATCTCTCGGGTCCTGGGGCTCTCTTCCAGCAAATTTGTCTGAACCCATAATTAGCCTGGAAACACTAGCCAAACGATTTCCTTGTTTTTTCTTGATAAGCAGCTGTCAGCACATGTAAATCAGTAATGTCCATCTGAAAATTTCCATGTGCTGTAAGGTATTTCTAATAGAACTCTGACTTCCAGTTGTCTGACAGGAAAAGGTCTGTGGGAGTTGAAAAGAGGAGTGTGAGTACATGGCTCAATGTAGTAATTTGGACGTAGCACAGGGTCTTAACTGGGAATGATAGGCAGCATGGATAACTGCAATGTTTCAGCTGGTTTCAGAAAAACAAAATTAATCTCAGTCTTTCAGTCATTTTGTTTTCAGTTGCAAGACAAGCAATGAAAGTGTCATGTTTTGTTTCTAAAATCTGATAACCACAGTACAGGAACAAAGAACAGCAGTGCAGCTTTCCCTGCAATTTCCAAGGAAAGAGGCAAAACCAGAGTTTTTCAGATAAAATCTCCCAACCAAGGGCTGAATTGCAGAGGATTTACCTGCTATCTTCCTAATAAATCTCCTCTGTGAAATTGGAGTGTAATTTTTTCCTAGGCCTTTTTTCTATTTTCTTCATCTTTGTTTTTCTGTTTCTGAGGATGTTTATCCATATCGCATGTACAATAATTTAAAGATCTATGTAATTCAGGACAATTTTGGTCCATGGTAAGGGGCATTGAAATTAATATACTAGAGAGCCCTGTTCACAGTGGAAGCCTGGGCATCTCACTTGTTCTTTGCACAAAAATGATTTCCTGAGTCTTTGTACCTTACTCGCATACAATTATCAAATGTTTAAAATCTTCACTCTGTATAGTTGCACTGCTATAGAATTATTTCAAAAAAGAAATAATGATTTTTCACAAATGTGACCTCTGCAGTAGCAAAAAACAAAGCAAAACCAAAAAGCATACAGAAGGAGTTCCACTGCCTGCACTGGAGACATTTAACTAGGACCGCGACCTTTAAAAACAAAGAAAAAAAGAAAAAAAAAATCCCTGCAGATGAAAAGATGAGAAGATGTGTTGTGAATATGTAGATACCCTATAGCTAACTCTGTATCTGGTGAACTAATATTATATTTTTTTGCCTTATAGGTTTTTTAAGTACTGGAGACCAAGCTGCAAAAGGCAATTATGGATTGCTTGACCAAATCCAAGCTTTACGTTGGATTGAAGAAAATATTGGATCTTTCGGAGGAGACCCAAAAAGAGTTACTATTTTTGGATCTGGGGCAGGAGCTTCCTGTGTCAGTCTCCTGACACTCTCTCACTATTCAGAAGGTAACAATTTTCTGAGCAAAATGCATTTTTTAAATTTTTAAACATTATAACAAAAATGTCTGTATCAAGTAGACTGAATTAGAATTACATGAGGTCTGTAGTTTTTGTGGAATACCTACTAGCTAGTATTCTGGATTTGTATTAGTCAACATGAATATTTTTATATGAAAAATTAAATGCTATTTCGTGCAACATATGCCATAGGCAATATACTTTTTCTAGCTTTATCAAGTCTCCACCGGTTCTTCTATCAAAGAATTTGCCCCAATTAAAATTGAAAAGAGCAGTGACCTTTTTCATTTTTTACACACTTTTGCCTGCACTTCCAGCATGTATTTAGATGCTTTCCTTAAGTAATTATAACATAACTTAAACTTATTAAAATATATATTTATCTCCCCACTACTACTGTGTTATCCCACACAGAATTCTTAAGATTTTGGTAAGTGTTTGAGCTGTGGGATTTCAACCCTCGATACTTTGCTTCCTCAAAAACAGAAAGCAAACAAACAAACAAACAAGAATGTACAGCACCATTACTGAACCATAAATATTTCTGTTGGTAAGACCAAATCTACAAAGAATTTATAAAAGAAGACAAGATCAAAATATCTGTTGTATTTATAAGTCCATGCTACTTCTATCACTTTAAAACAGACAGAAATCTATGGCAGAAGACTAAGCCCTAGCAAGCAATTGTGGCAGGGCTGCTGGTAAACACATCCTGTTTGGAAATACATAGAATTATGCCTGACAGTTTAGTCTATTGATACAAATAGGGTGCAGTGAATAACTGTTGAGTAAGCTATGCCAAAATCAAGCAGATGGAACCATGAAAAACTTAACTAATCACATCATTTAAATTTTGTAGCGTGTGCAGTAAGTAATCATCACAAAGGTATATCGACCACAGCCAGTTTTTCCCATAAGTGCTTCAAGGTCTTTAAATGTTTTTGTAGCTGTTGCTGTCTTTGACATTTCAAGAGCCTGACAGTAGAAACCATGTGCAGAAGAGTTTCAGGCATTTTAGCTAACGTATAAAATAGGCCATTTTAGTGATCTTATCAGTAATAATCAAATGGGGCAGATTCACCAGTAAGCTTCAGTTGCTTTTCAGTGCTCTGGTGACACAAAGAAGCTCTTCAGACTGGGTCTTTTATCTCTTTTTATATTGTTACATCTAAAACAGCCAGCAAGAACTATCGAATCTCATCCTACTCTCTTCCAAAAAACGTAAATATATTTTAATTCAACATACAAGAAGTGTTAACACACACATCCCCCAGCACCACCCCCCCCCCCCAAAAAAAAAAAAGTCAGAGTAGAAGACTCAGGCCTATTAAATTTATTTTTGCAGAACAGATTTTTCAAGTTATATGATACATGGCTTCTGTGAAGGAAATGAGGGTGTGTAATTTTCATTTGACCTTTAAACTACTGAAGAGCACATTTATGAGAGTCATTTACATGGCAAAGAGGATGTGATTGCTTGTAGCTGCCACTCCTTTAAAGAAATTTTTACATGACTACCACCATGCTAAAGCCAGGGGACTTCCATTAGTGGTGCAAGAAAACTACAGTACAAGCATGAGTTTTGTTCTTGAAATAGTAACCTGAAATCTTCATTCTTTATATGTGTGAGCATCAAGAACAAGAGAGATTTTAATTACTAGCTTATTAGAGATACTATAAAAAGGGAGTAGTGAGTAGAATATATGGAAATTTAATTGAAATTTAGGTATATGGGTCCTTTAGTTATTGTGTAATCAAAGCTTTCTTTGCTTAGTGAAAGCTGCTATACTTTTTTTTTTTTTTTTTTTTAATATATAATTGAATTTGCATTTAAACAATTTACACCTACAGGTTTGTTCCAAAAGGCAATCATACAGAGTGGAACAGCCCTGTCCAGCTGGGCAGTGAACTACCAGCCTGCCAAGTACACTCGGATATTGGCAGACAAAGTGGGCTGCGACATGCTGGATACCACTGATTTGGTTGAATGTCTTCGGAATAAGAATTACAAAGAACTCATTCAACAGACCATCACTCCAGCCACGTACCACATTGCCTTTGGGCCTGTGATAGATGGAGATGTGATTCCAGATGACCCTCAGATTCTCATGGAGCAAGGGGAATTCCTTAACTATGATATAATGCTAGGCGTGAATCAAGGGGAAGGTTTAAAATTTGTGGACGGCATTGTAGACAATGAAGATGGTGTTTCCCCCAATGATTTTGACTTTTCTGTCTCCAATTTTGTGGACAATCTATATGGTTATCCGGAAGGGAAAGATACACTGCGAGAGACCATTAAATTCATGTACACAGACTGGGCAGACAAAGAAAACCCCGAAACAAGACGGAAGACCCTGGTTGCTCTTTTTACAGACCACCAGTGGGTTGCTCCAGCTGTTGCTACTGCTGACCTGCATGCTCAGTATGGATCTCCAACATATTTCTATGCATTTTATCACCATTGCCAAAGTGAAATGAAACCCAGCTGGGCTGATTCAGCTCATGGTGATGAAGTCCCCTATGTGTTTGGGATTCCTATGATTGGCCCCACAGAACTGTTCAACTGCAACTTTTCCAAGAATGATGTCATGCTCAGTGCAGTAGTTATGACGTACTGGACTAACTTTGCCAAAACTGGGTAAGTTTGACCTCCAGCATTCCTTTTTGTTGGTAACATACTTCTAAAATAGTCAGTATCCCCTAGCAGTGGCTTCAGACTCTGATCTTGCAGCAGCATCATAGCACTATTTGCGTAAGAGACAAGGTAACTGGGGCTTATTCATATTTAATAGATTTTTAATTAGTGTGTTCCCTCAAACTATTTTCTTTCAGTAGCTCAGTGAGAATAATAATGCGCTGTATTTTTGATTCGAAAAATAGGCCAATTATTAAGACAAAGCATGTCTCGGAGAAAAGGTGGCTCACTAAGATACTGAAAATTCTGAGGCAACATTGCTGCTTGAAGAAGGAACTGTCAGGCAGATAGCACTTATCTGATAGAAAAGAAAGGAAGTTCTTGGTTTTAGTGACCTTCACAGGGTTGGGAACTCAATGAGGAATTAGAACAGAAAGGCAGACGCTGGAAAGATTTTTCCCTCTGAGGGCTATAATGGCAATAATAAGTACTTGACTGGAATGAAGAAGAGACTCAGATATAAATTTTGCTTCGAGAAAGTTAAAAATTTAAATTAATTCTGCTTGTGAAACAAAGTAAAGACATCAATGTTTTGCTGAAATAGAGTTGTAAACATCAAGGAAAGAACCATCAAAGCAGCTTAATCGTGACTGCTATTAATAATTTCTGTCCTCTTCCTACAGCATTCCTTTAAACAGTATTGCAGTTCTTTATTTGAGCAGCAAGGGCTTTTTTGTTAACCTTGAGTCTTCGGTACTGAATTAAAACAAAGATACTTGTGGCACAAAGGGGCTGTAAATCTTTCCAATGAATGTTTAATGGCAAGATTGGACTCTGGAAACTGCAGCTTTACTGCACTGCAGTGAATGGTATGCAGCTACATAGGAAAAATTCAGAGATGCCTAATGCGAAACACTCAGAGGCTTCAGCAGCTCTTGCAGCCTTTAATGAATCCAAATGATGTTCAAGGGACAGAGATTTTGCAGTCTTAACAAAAAACCTCAAGCATGAACTGAGTAAAAAACAATAAAATGCTTCGGGTCGATTTACAAGGCAAAAATAAAGCTTTTGTTGCACTGCATTTTAGACAAACAGGTACTTTTGTATGTAAAAATCCCACAGTACTGCAACAATAGTGAATGAACTGTGAAATATTTAGGTGTATTTGGCAAAAATAAGTCATCAGTACTGGGATGGGCAAACTTGAGGATGAAAGCTTGGTTTATGGATAGAGAATGCCGCATGCTGGCTGTACTGCACACTCAGAAAGATGATTATATCATCAGTTTGTATTTTTATAGATGAAATGCCACATACACACAGAGAAGATCAGATTCTCACAAATACACATAATTGGAATTATTATGGAGATACAAGATCTTCATAGTCTCACTATTATTTCCAGTTACTTTATGACTATTCCCTGTAGAATGAAAAGTCATAGTTAAGCAATTTTTTGAGGCTGATAGGATTTTCTCACTGTTCCAGCTGCCATCATTACTCATAATTGCAAGCACCTTCCAGCTGTTGCTACTTGAAAGCTAATTTCAGCAGGCTGTATATGCTATCACCCAGTTCTCTGCTTATGAACCCATTGTCATACTACATCTAAAGACACAACAGGTGCTTTGAGAGAGCTATTTGTCAGTTCTGAAATTTTGCCATTGCTGATGAAACAGGAATGATGTATATCTTCTGTTAGAAACTTACCCCTTTATAGGCAGTCTGAAAGATGTGTCATTAAAAATGACCTCTAGCTGTAAAACTTTAGTTTTCACAAGGTAAAGAAAGGAGCAACACAAGGCGCATTGCCTTGCTGGGTTTTTGTTGTTGTTGTTGTTGTTCATATAAAAAATGATTAATTGTTCTGGGTAGTACAAGAGAATACTTGGAGGAAAATAATATTTTAGTATTACATTTGCTCTACAATGGAAAAGAGAAGATTTTAGACGTATCTGGGGTAACTGTTCTCCTCTCTATTCTCTCAGATGCAATTTGGAATCCATGTGCCCACTTAGCTCTTCTAATTCTCAAAAAGATTGATATGGTTCAAGACTGCATTGTTGGGGGCTTTGTTTTGGGTTTTTTTCCACCCTTTTTAAATTGACTGTTGCCCATACTTCTTCTGATAAAACCTGGTTTGCTTTTTGTTTGGCAACACATGAAAAATCTGTTGAGAGGAAGATTGTATTATTGCAGGTTTCCCTGTAGATGAGCCTTGAACAAGAAACCTGCAGATTTATTTATTTAATTTTAATGTCTCTGAGATTTTTCCAGTCTTGATGACTCTCCCGCAGGGGCTGCATCCAGGTACTTATTGTATAATTACGGCTCAGGTGGCGCATCATTTTGATGGACTGCTCTGGGCTTTTAACTGACATGCCACCTGCTGCTAAGAAAGTCACATTGTTTAATGGGCCTACTGCCAGGGCTGTGTTTGGAGGGCAGGTCAGTCCTGTAAAATCACTAGGTGTCAGAGACACAGCACAAGGCACAGTGCTTTCATTGTGTTTTGCCTTGAATTCAGTTACTGAAACTAGCAAATAGGAGGTGACAATTAAAGTGTTTAATGATCATGCTTGAAATGAATACCTGGAAGCTGCATTTTGCTAATCCTCCATTTCCTACATTGCTAGGACTGTTGTTTTTGTTTTGTTTTGTTTTGCTTTGCTTTAAGAGTAATTCTGACATTTTCAAAACTATGTTTCTAACATCCCCTAGAAATAGGAAAGCAATTTGTTAGAGAGTAGGTGTGAGAAAATACATTTGGGATACAAAAATGACATGAAAATTCAGCTTTTGATTCCACTGTGTGCAAAATTATATGTGAGAGCTTCATTAAGAAGTGCACTTAAAACTTCAATCTGCTGCCAGTAGTACTATCCTAACTGTAATGGTAATTTTATATGCTCAAATGTTCTGTTAGTTGGGGCCATGTTACATCCTTCGCAGACACATCAGCAGAGGGAGGGTGAATGACATGAGGGGATGTGTGCCAGTCCTTCACAGATACTCTGCCAGCTGCACTCTTGTGAAGAAGAATTTGAAGTTTCATAGAGTAGATAAGAAGTCATGCTCTTATTAGAGGCATCTATCTGGTTTCTAAAAATTACCCTCTTTTGAGGAGTTACAATACTCTATTTTTGCTCCCATTCATCCAGCTCAACATAGGTTGGTGGTGGGAAAGATAAAAGTCTAAAGGATTCTCTTTCTAATTCAGATAAATACTCCTGAATTATTTTACTACCATGATTCTGAAGCAAAAACCTAACTGAGTTATTAAGGATGTCTATGGTTTATATTCAGTTTGGCTTTCTAACGGAAGACACAAACTTACAATGATTAAAGTGTATTTTTGAATAAATTCTCTGTGAACTCCTTTATGAGGCTGTTGCATTTCTTTTTTATGTTTTTGTCTGAAGAAATATCTGTGTCCAATGGCCAATCTGTGTTAGTCAAACAAAACAGTGTACTTATTGCTTTCCTTAGTAGTTATAATAGCTGACTGAGAGCACGGCAACAGTAGGACCTGCTGATAAGTGAGGAAAGGCGGTAAGGGAAAATATGCTTTTCTACCAGTGCTTCAGGCAGGAATGGCTGTAATGTTATTAATATTTTAACAACATGAAAAATCAGTGGAAGCATGAAGAAATGCCACACAGTTTTTCTCTCTCTCCCCCCACCCTTCCCCATATGGAAAACCAAGATCTGCTAAAAGAAAATAAATGATCAGGAGGTCTTTTAAGTGTCTTAGAGACAAACTTAGTACGTAACTGTTAAGATATTTAGCTCTCCAATTAAGTTAGAGAACGACACAAAAGAGTCACAGAATGGTTTGGGTTGGAAGGGACCTTAAGGATTACCTAGTTCCAACCTCACTGCCATGAGCAGGGACACCTTCCACTAGACCAGGTTGCTTAAAGCCTCATCCAATCTGGCCTTAAATAAAACACTTTAAGTGCATTAACATAACAATTCCATTGTCCTGAGTGATAGTTAATATTGTTGCAGATATAGTTAAAGATGAAAAGTATTTCAAAATGTTATATGAAATTCAGGATAAGAGAAAACTTTAGATTTGCCATTATTCTTCCTGTGCCAGTATCACCAGATATTAAACACTCAGTTCCCTCGTTTGCCCTCCAGGTCAGCTACTAATTCACCTTATGAACAGGAATGTGTGTTGGTCTTCAGTCAGCATCCATTGCAGACGCATTTACTTTATATCATCTGACAAAAAAAATCAATGCTTTGAATGTAGCCCATGAGGTGTGAATTAAATTACAATGAACAGCAACATGTTAAATTGAGCAAAATCATTGCAGAGTAAAAGTGGGGGGGGAAAAGTGACAGGTGAAATCAGATTATTCTGCACATTAATAATTAAAAAAAACATAGATAAAACAAGACAGACCATTGTATGATCTTCCATCACACAGAAGACAAGTTCAGACATTTTGTGATGGAGGCATTTTTTGATGGATCAGCTGTTTAAGTTAAGTTCTAAAGGTGGTGAAAATAAATAATCAGAGAGCAAAATTAACAACAATAATAAATTTTGTTCCAGCAATAGGATGAAGGAAGGAAAAAAAAAAAAAAAAAAAAGCCTCCCTGCCAACCTGCCAATTAGTAGGATTGGGAAACAAGTTATCTAGTCCCAATGAGGGCCATTACTGGAAGAAGTATGGAACTGAAAATATAGTATTCATATTTTTATCACCATTATTGCAGCGGGTTTTTAAAGGAAGGTTTTCTAGCAGCCTTTTGTTCTGTAGTTACACAGTTGAGCCCCAAGAATGTCCAGAAACACAAAGGTGATGTGAGATGCTAAAAAAAGCAAAAGGAAATTTAACTTTAAATTAAGGTAACGGATCAAAAGGTTTGTCTGACAGTTGATTCAATAGCAGAAATGGTTGTATGTACATCTTTATTTTATGCCTATCTAGAATACTGGAAGAGTGTTCATAATAGGATAAATTGCCAAATACTCGAGAAAAAGACTCAACATGTTGTATGTTGTAACCTTATGATTTTATGAATTGTCTAAAGTGTACATAGGAGGGGGGCCAAGGAAAGTAAAAATCCTCTTATTTATATCCACTGATTATTTTTGGTAAATTATCATTCGTCTGTAAAATCAAGATCCATGCATTATTAGAGTCTCTATTTAGGACTGGACTTAGTTATTCCATTTTATTGTGGGGAAAAAAAAAATCATTTACATACCTATCCTCTAAATTCAGAGAGAGTATTTAGACCATTTATTCAGTTACTAAGTGATCAACCCTGGAGTTGATACCAATGGTAGAATTATGATACCCCCAGAAAAAAAAAAAAATTACTTATCTGTAGGCTGGGGTTGTTTTTTTTTTTCTGTTCCTTGTTTCAATGGACAGCTTCATGCCTCCATACAACCATGTAAACAAATCCTGAAATAAAAAAAATAGCCTCATGTAATGTTATTTTCTCTCTTGTGTTTCAAGGAGGTAGCAGCATAATTGGCTGTTCTTAATAGATATAGTTAAAAAGCAGAAATGGAGGTAGAGAATAGAATAGAGGGAAAAGAAAGAGAGGTTGATGTTTACTTGTTTTGTAGGGTTTTTGCAGGGGAATGAATGCTAATTTCAAAAGTGTTTAGTTGCTAAAATCATCATTTACTGTCATTTTTATAGGGACATTTAAAAAAAATAAAAATTAAAGCACATGTCCAGCTTGGTTCATTGAAATGAGTGCTCAGCTTCTTCATCTCCTTTACTGTGTATTAAGTGCAACCGGGTTTATATGAGCTAATTTAATTTATACGTTCTCTGTAGGACCTTTCCCAGAGTCTCCTGTGCTGTGAATCAGAACAGCAAGTAGGGAGAACACAAGATGGATTTTTTTGCTGTAGCTCTTGCAGGATTTTGAGTTTCTGACAAGAAAAATGCTTTGCATTAGAATTTATGTACAGTACTTTGAACACCAAAGTACTATAGTAGTAGATGTATTGAATTGGAACAATATTTTCTCCTCTAGATTTTCCAAATCTTTCAGTCTGTTCTTTAAGAAAAAAAAGAAATACTTTTATTTTCTTCTTGAATGCATGTTAGAATCCCTCAAAGCAGCAGCATACATCTGCTGCTGTACTGCTTAGAAGTGGATATTACTCCTCTCACTTCAACTAGGATGAACAATCACTATGCAATTATCTTTCTGTTCAGAATTAACACAATTTGGCTAGCTACTACTACATAAAATGAGAAATAAATAAATAAATAGATAAATAAATGAAATAGCCACAGTTCTGGAACCTCTAGTTTATATCTTATTGAGATGGGAAAAAAATGATACAGTGCAGTATGGGGAAAAAAACCCAAATGAACAAGCCAAAAACCAAATCACTTCCAAAAACCCCAAACACTTAAAACCACAAGCATAAGTAAACTAAAGTACCAAAACTATATGCAAAAAATATTGTTCCATTCACTCAAAAAAAGGTAAGATAAATTTGTTCATGTAAACAGATGAATAGAGCAATCATAAGATTATTAAAGTCAAATTGTCAGTCCTGTTTAAGAACTAAGGAGTAGTTCTTTATGAACAGCAAATAAATGCTAAACTAGGCAATCATGTTCATGAGCTTCTGGAAATGGAAAAAGGGGAAAACTAATATTCTTTAAAATCTGTAGCAAGCCGTCTTACTATTCCCGTAACATACATAACAGTATATTGGAAGAAAAGGAAAATATTAGAATCATTTTCACAGGAAATAAACTAATGCATATGGGAATGGAAAGTAGAATGGAAAGTTCTCAGAGTAATGTACAAAAAATGAATCATGTACTCTCAGGATAATATATCACAAAGTCCCAGAAAATACTTTTTACTGCTGTTTTTTCATTCCAAGAGGGAGTAATATTTACATAAAGTTTACTAAAATTATAAGAATACATAGACTTTTACCACATTTCAATGCTGTATGTACCATTAGTTTGTCTTTATTCTGAACCTATAAGAAAAAACAAAAAACAAAAAAACCTACCAACCAGCCAACCAAAAAAACCCCAACAAACTAACTAAAAGATGGGAAAAGCATAATTTGAATTAATATTTGGGTTACCAATTTTGAAATTATCTCTGACTAGTGTACTACTCTCATCTCTATTACTACTTAACTACTATAAAACTTGTTAATCTCAGCTAATATATTTCTCTTCCCTACAAACTGGAACAGAATTAAGACTTACTGTCCTACAGCCATTAAACACAGTTATTTAGTAGCACTGAGCACTCAGGACTTTCAAATAGCAAGCTGGAAGTGAAAATAATGGAAAGACTTGTGACATAAAAATGCTTCAAAGGCTTTTCCCTAAAGTAGATATTTGAACGAAGAGGGACTAGTAGTTCAGGAAAAGAACACAAAGAGAAATAGTTTGCAGTTACAAGTATTAGCCCTGCTACTTAATGTTTTGAAGTTTTTTTATGTAATATACACAGCTAGTATAAAGTCTTCTAATCTGTCCTGGTTTTGCTAGGATAGAGCTAATTTTCTTCATAGCAGCTAGAATACCTATGTTTTGTTTTCAGTATGAGATTTGTTATGAGAGGAATGTTGATAATATACCGATGTTTTTAGTGTTACTAAGAAAATCAAGGACATTCCAACTTCCCATATTTTGCTAATCTGCAGGTGCAGAAAAAACTATGGGGAAGCATAGTAAAACTAACACACCATGGCTGACTTTTGGATATGCCAGTGGGATATTCCATATCATATAACATCATGTTCAGTATATTAATGAGGGTTGGCTGGTTTTGGGCGATCTCTCAGGCTCTCTCACTTTTCTGGGATTGTGGTTTAAATTTCGAGATTGTCCCTGCTCTGGGATGGCTAGCCAGGGACTGGGCTGGGCATCCATCAGTGAGTGGTGAGCAATGCACCATGCATCATTCATTTGTAGATTCCATTATTACTGTTATTATTACTTTAATTATTATTTTATTTCAATTATTAAACTGTTTTCGTCTCAACCGAGGAGTTTTCTCACTTTTACCCTTCTGATTCTTTCCCCCATCCCACTGGGGGAGGGTGAGCAAGGAGCTCTGTGCTGTTTGGCTAACAGACAGGCTAAAATCAACACATACATGGACTTCCAACATTTCCATAGGGCTTACATGCCCGTATTTACTGCTTACAGCAGTGGAAGTAGTCGTACCTTAAATGGGAAAATTAATGTCAAACCTTGAGAAGAGCTGAATTTACACCTTTATTATGGGGAAAGGTAGTTAGTACTCATCTAAGCTTTGGAATATGATACTGAATCACAGAACTTCAGATGAGTTTTTGGGACCTAACACCAGCCTTTCTCTATTTTCATGTAAAAAAGTATCGTAGTGTCTGAGATGCACTGTATGGTAAGTAATTTTTCTTTTCTTTATTTATTAACATCTGTTGTTAGGGATATTATTTTAGCTTCTGTTTTTAGGTTATGTTAATCATCAGATAAACCATTAACTAAAGGGTGGAGGGCTTTTTGGTTTTGTTTTTATTTTTGTTTTTATTTTTTTACAATCATTATAATATTGCCTGTTTTTATTTTTGTAGGGATCCAAACCAGCCTGTTCCACAGGACACAAAGTTCATCCACACAAAACCCAATCGCTTTGAAGAAGTGGCCTGGTCAAAATACAATCCTAAAGACCAGCTTTATCTGCATATTGGCCTGAAACCTCGAGTTCGTGATCACTACCGAGCAACAAAAGTTGCTTTCTGGTTGGAACTCGTACCGCACCTTCACAACTTGAATGAAATATTTCAGTACGTTTCCACAACAACTAAAGTCCCCCCTCCTGACATGACATCATTTCCTTATGTGACACGACGTTCTCCTGGTAAATTGTGGCCGGCCACCAAACGCCCAGCAATGACACCTGCCAACAATCCCAAACATTCAAAAGACACCCATAAAACAGCTCCAGAGGATACAACAGTTCTGATAGAAAACAAACGAGATTACTCCACAGAGCTGAGCGTCACTATTGCTGTGGGGGCATCCTTGCTGTTCCTCAATATTTTAGCATTTGCTGCATTATATTACAAGAAGGACAAGCGGCGTCATGAGACTCACAGGCGCCCTAGCCCCCAGAGGAACACAACCAACGATATTGCACACATACAAAATGAAGAGATTATGTCATTGCAGATGAAACAGCTGGAACACGACCACGAGTGTGAATCACTGCAGGCCCATGACACACTGAGACTAACCTGTCCGCCTGACTACACGCTTACTTTGAGAAGGTCCCCAGATGACATCCCGCTAATGACACCCAATACCATAACCATGATTCCAAATACATTAACAGGGATGCAACCTTTGCATACTTTCAACACCTTCAGTGGGGGACAAAACAGTACAAATTTGCCCCATGGACATTCGACCACTAGGGTATAGCTCAGCCTTCCCCCTTCTACCCTCACAAGCCACTTGGAAGACAGAAAAAAAGAAAAAAGGAAAAAAAAATAAAAGAAGAGGAAAAAGTTATAATACCATCCACTGAACACCTTGTCAAAATCTAGAGTAAAAACAAGTAAAAGAGAAGGACAGTCATTATTTTCTTACTGATCCTTCCCACAGAAACTCTCTGATGTTAAAGATCAACTACAAACCCTGTGAAATGTGAAAAGTGTACATTGCTGTTATGATACTGCTTTAAGATCTCAGCCACTTGAAAGTTGGGGCCAGAAGATATAACTTAAAATGGTGTTTTGAGTGTAACAAGCAAAGCAGAGTCTTCTGGAACACAGAGCCAGTGACTGTAAAGGTGTTCTGGTTTGGGGTTTTTTTTTTAAATAAATAAAATAATTAAAAAAATTCTTTATGTGCCATACCATGAATGGCCCTTGTTAAAACAAAGACATCACCATGGGCTTTTACCCAGCATATGAAGCTGTAATCCAGATGGGGGAAATAGAATTTTATTATTAAAAACAAAAACGAAAAAAAAAGAGGAGGACTGACTATGCAGTAAAATACGTATAGTTCTGTGCAAAGAGATGACTTGCCAGCCTGAACTATATTTAAAGATACTTTGTAAAAATGTACATAGCTGTGAGTTTAAAAACAAACAAAAAAAAAAAAAAAAGAAGAAGAAGCTTTTGTTGATGTTTTCAGTTTGAAAAGAGCTTTTAGAAAGGTTGTGCATTCTGTTGTGACCTATGTGTATATACATTAGTCATATCACCTCTGTTTCCTCCAAGCCCAAAGGAGGGATTTCTTCTTAATTACTAGTGGTAAACAAAAAACATGAGCTTTTTCTAACATGTTTCATTTATATGAGAACGTCGTGTCATGCAGAGGATACAGTTGTCTGTGTGGCCTGCACATTTTCTCTTACAGGTTACACAAGTGCATGTTAAAGTATTCATAGGAGATTGTTGTTCTTTTCTGAAACTTTTTTTTCTATAATTTAATTTTGTGTTAGCCTTTGTTAAATTGCAACACAACAATAGATTGAAAAATGGAGGAAAAAACACACAAAAGAAAATTACTATTTTCATCTTGTTGAACTGAACTGAGAAACATCCAATAATATATATTCAGAGTCCAGTTTGGAGTTCTTGGTTATTGTGATACATTAGGAAGAGTTTTGTGCCCTGACAAAAGCAAAGAAAGCCTGTGTTTTGGTCCGTTTTTTCTGAGGAAAACTAGCCCTATGTTCACCAGCAGTCGCAGTGGAATCTCAGTTGAGAAAGCACCTTCTTAGCTTTGCTAAACAAAATAAAACCACAGTTTAAAAGTGGGGAAATGGTGGATTGGTTGGCTGGCTGATTTTTAAAGTGTTTGGAAATGATCAGTGCGTAAAGAACTTCTCTGACTAATATCCTGTTTTGTGCTTGAGAACATACCTGTCAGAAAATACTTTTTTTGCTGATTTCTACACAGCAGTCCCATAGTCAGTGAACATTACAGAAAGAAAAGCAGAGATGTTGTCAGCTGTTCTGCATTTGAATAAAACTGAAAATACCAGAGAGCATCAGTCTCAGGAAGGGCAAAATTCTTAGCTGATTATTCCCCTCTGCTGTTCCTTCACTAGGAAACCAGGGGCCAAGCAGAGCTATCAAATAAAGGAACTTAGCAATTTTATTCAAACAACGGATTTGAATGTGAAAAGCTAGAAATAAGTTATCGCAGATGAAGATTGCTTTATATCTTGTCCTTGAAAGTTACTCCATCATCGAGAGATAGTAACCAAAGATATTTGAACAAATTGGTCTGCACTTGAACATGATTATCCAGATGTATTTTCTATTATTAATTCACAGCTAAGCTGCATCAATATCATATGTCCCATAAGTATCTAACACAAGATGCCTTGTACCTCTTTTTTTCTATGCTTCTTTATTTTCTACTAAGATATCTTGGAATAGTCACCCCTACAAATAAAATCAAAGACAAGGTTTCTTGAGGATTCACTGAGGTCTTTTCATCTGCACAATGCCTTGTTGTAGCAGGCAGTAAAACAGATTCTGAATGAAAGAAATAAAAAGAAAGTTAATGACATGATAAAAATTCAACATGTGGCTGATATAATCTTTTATCTGTCATAAATGTGCTATAAACCTGACCTGGATGCTCAGGTTGGAATATGATGAAGCGACAACCCCAAAGTACAACTATTAGCAAATGGAAAGCTGTTTATTTTTTTTCACTGATTCATCACATAATGTTGATTAATACTGACTCTATAGCAGGCCATTTCCACCACCTATGTAATGCATCAGCTGAGATGCAGCAGTTCACAACTCAAAAACAAAAAAAAGAAAAGGTTAAAAAAAAAGAAAAAAAAGAAAAAAAAAGGAAAAAAGGTAATGATGCTTGTCATCATAATCAGTTGGGTATGTTTGTAATGTGCATTACAGTATTTGTTTAGTACTTCCAATTGTCTTCTGCTAGCAATATGTACAGTACTGTGTCAGGCTTGTGACATTTGGGTAAAAAAAAAGTTCCTGTAAGTGAATGATTTTAGCTTTTAAAAGTAATTACAATCAAGTTAATTTAATAATTTGATACATCTGGACTGATGTATGATTTATAGAGGGAACAGATTTATAGGATCTTCATAGAATTCTATAATAATGATATCAAAATATACTTTGCAAAATGTAAAAGAAAAACAAAAGTACTTTTCCAGGCTTATATTCTTGACCTTAAGAGGCACGCAGGGTTTAATGGTTTCTTCTGTTACTTTTTTGCAATTTTTTGTTTTTTGCCTTAAGTAATGATAGAAGATATATATGGCTGGACACATATGTATAAACTTTTCAGCAGCATTTTTAATAATAAAATATCACAGTATTTTCTAATGCTTTGTGCAAAGAACTATGTGTTCATCCTTTTGTGTAGAAAGTCTTTCAGAGGTGTATTTTCTGCCCCATCTCCATTTCATTATCTAATGTAAACAATGCCTTGATACACAGTACGAATTTATTAAAGTAATAGAGGTTGCACTTTTAAGTTAGCATTGAGTTTTCATCGCTTTTGTAGTTCTGTAAGCCTTCCAGTAAAAGGGAAGAAACTCAGACAATGAAGATAGAGAATGAGCTCCATATATTTATTACCTATATGCACTGCAACTCCCATGGAAGCAATGGTTTAATTGTTCTGTTAGCATTTTCTGTTGCACTGAAAAAAAACCTTAGGTAAGCAGCTTCCCGTATTAGTATATAGCTTGGCCGCTGAAAAATGTATCTTAATTAGAGATCAAAATAATTAAGATAAATCTAATACATCCAGCCTCCACAAGTAAATATATTTTCATTTTATATTTAAAATTTAGATAAACAATGAGGTTTATTAGAAAAAATATGTAGGAGTAGCAATATAAGTTACTCATATACATTTAAGGGATTTACATATATTGCAGGTATGTTAATATCATTCTTCCTTCAAAAGGTGAATAAGTCAATATAGTTTGTTCTTTTATGCTGTTAAATTCCATTTATCAACCAGGTTTCCTTGCACTGGAAAGGTACATAGACATTTTAGTAATCTGGGCTGGGTATTGTTTGCTTTCTGTAACTATTCTGTTGAGTAGAGGTACTAACAATAATATTTGGTGAATTTTGAGAATATTATTGAAGAGTATTTGCAAAAAGCAAATTCTGAATTGTTCATACTAGATTTTTGATATCAAGAATCAAGCTTCTGAGAGAGAAACATATTATGTGCCTACTGACCTAATCAAGCAGCTTGAATTTTGAATATTGAATTTGTATATAAAGCTTTTGCAAATAAACTGCAGATTTAGAAATGTTCAGCAAATATGTTTAATTACAGGTACACTTTGAAATTCCACAGCTTGCTCTGAGATAATTCATACAGAAGAAAAGGAATTACAATTATGTCATTTATGTGAAATGTTCACCTTAAATTTCTGGGTGAACACAAAAATTACCTTATTTTCAGTTAATTAATTTCACATTAAAAAAAAGAAAAGCTTCAGAAGTTTGTTCCTACTAACTAAATACTGTGTTGCTTTATTTCTTTACTGTCTGAAACATAAATCTGCAAATTAGTACGTTCCTATTTTGACTTTGCTAAGAGTATGACAATTTAATGGTATTTAATATCACATAAAAATCATATGAAATAATACCATGACAATTATGTGCTTGTGTCAGATTTGTAGTTTTACATTTGTAGTATTTAATTATTGTCAACTGTTTCTCATATTTTCATCTACAGCTGTTTGACATCACAAACCTCATCAGCCTGAATCTCTCCAGAGGCCATTAGTACCTGGTAAAAACTGGGATTTTCATCCCACTAAAAATTATGATATTATGTATTTAATATCATAATATGTTAAAATGCATCTCAGCACCTCAAATTAGCCTGAAAAGCAAGATATTAACCTTTTATTAATGAGAACAAATGAGAAATAAGGAAGGGGTTTGGAAATGTCTAGACATCTTGTTTGAGCTGTAGTATAATAAATAACATTTTGCTTTGGAATGAAGTTTTAATTGAAACCACTTTGTTTGGTGTTCCACTGTGGCCACCAAGGTCCTGACTGTGTCCTCTGAAAGTTATGTTTTAAGGAAGTCATGCTTTCTCAGTTTTTTATTGCCCACTCAAACTATATCCAAATTTTGCTGTGGTAAAGAAACACAGATCACTCAGGTACAACATAGATGCAATCCAGTCACAAAGTCCAGACCAGAGAAGGAATTTTGTCATAAACCAAGGGAACTGCATCTCCCTTGAGACACAGTGGTAATTAAGGCAGACTATGCATTAATATTCCAACAATTCAAATGTAAAATAAGCATGTAATAAATTAGGTACTTTTTTTTTTTTTTTTCCAATGGAAAGTTGACAAATTCTTACAATATCTACATTTTCTACCCCTTCCCCACAGTGAACAGCAAAATATTTTCAGACAGTTCTAGTAATTTCTGGAACATCCACTTACATAAATGATAAATTAAATAGATTACAGCTTTTTGTCTTCCCTCCTACATGAAGACTCTCAAGTACTGAAAGCATAAAAAAATTCTTCCTCTACTGTCTTCTATCAGGGCTTATAGGTTATCCATATGCTTTAGAGTAGTCCCATTCCCAAGAGTTCAGGATTAAATGAAAAGAAAAAGCCAGACAGAGAACTGACACATATTGACTTTGACTTAGACTAGTCAGCAGAGTTAATACAAAGTCAAAGATATGGCACAAAAATATAGCAAACTTTTATGTTTTATTTTAAGTGTTGCATTTCTAGAGACCACTTTTTCTTTTCTCAGTTTTTGATGTTTGATGTCGTGTTTTTTGCTGTACTTAACTCACAGCCCTCATTCATTTCATGTCATCTCATATATTTTATCACTAATTCATCACATACTTCCTCAAGAGATGTGTACAGATATGTTTCCGTGTGGGTTTTGTTGCCATCACAACAGTTAAGTTTGGCCCCAGATTTTTTCCATTCTGTGCTGTATGGCTGTGAGAAAGCATTTTTCATCTGACATTTTCCTTGCTGATTTTAGTGTTAAAAAAGTTCCACTAAAGCAGTATTTACCTGAGAATATTCATCATCCTTAAAATGCATCAGTATCTATGGCTGGCTGCACTTTGTGTCAGGCCAACAGCTTTGGTTCGACATAGTGTTTGTCTCAGTGGGACATGTTGGGTTGGAGCCAGGCTCTCCTGTTACTCTGCAGTTAATATTATTGTTCTTATTAACTGTTAACATTTATTTATTTTCTACAATGATCTTCAAACAAGGATAAATTTAATTAGTCTGTCATTCTATTCCACAGCAAGATTTCTCAAACCTTAAAAGGTGATTGTTCTTAATTCTTGTTCAGGTACAGCTTATTACACTGCACCATCAAAACACAGAATCCTTTCTAAGCCATTCATGTTTCCTGATTCTCCCATCAGAAAAAACTAATAAGGGGCTGGCACAGTTAGCCTTGTATGACAAGAATTCATGGCATACTGCCTTCTACTTGGTGGGGACTTGTTTCACATATCTGGAGAAATAAATACAATTACCATTTTCATACATTAAAATTTCACTGCATTATGTTAAAGGTAAACAAGACTTAAGGTAAAATTCATGGAAGCTACAGATACTGAGGATTACGCTCTAGT